TTTTTATTACCTCTACGTTTTAATTTTAATGTTTATTTCCTTTTTTTGTTCTTTTTTTTACATTTTCTTTGGTAATGAAATCTAACATAACCATAGATATTGACAATTACACGTATATATACGTATGTAACATTTGTTCTTCTTTTTTTTAAAACCATAGCTTACACATGATAAAACACACATGTTTCAAAATATTGTCCTTCTTTTTCTTTATCGGATATTTGAAAAATTTTCTAGTCTATTAGAATGGTAGTAGTAGAATTGTATCGAGAAACGTGTTTCTCGATGTGGTAACCAAAGAGAACTAAAAAAGAAGAAGCAAAAGTAGAAGAAGAAGAAGAAGAAAAAGAAGAAAAAGATTCGTAGATTCCACCGGGAATGTATATACGAGCTTGTATAAGGCATACATCGGCTGCTGTAGTACCGAAGTTCTCATTTCAGCGAGATATCGGATTTTTCCTGGCTTCCCGTCCTCTACCCCCTTCTTCTTACTCCTTTATTATCCGCCTCTGCCTCGAGTTCCTCTCCTCCATCGTTCTTTATCCCAAACAAAGCAATCTCGAACTCGTAGCGACAGCAGCCCCTACGTGCGACTGCTAGGTGACAATTTATATACCCACCCAACTATATAATAACTTACTCGATACGTCTTTCTCGCACGAGAAGCTACAATCGGTTTCGCGCTTTGCTACCTCGATTGTTCTTACCAAAAGTGTTACGATCTATTGATAAGAAAAAAAACAAGAATCTTCTTTTATCGAACAATTTTCTTTTCTTTTTTTCTTTCGTTTTCTTTTAATATTCAAAGTTTCATAATTTACGATCATCGTCGGAAAATAATTTTTTTAAAAGTTAAAATCTTATGATTTTTATTTATAGAATCTTTTACGGAACGTTAATTTTATTTTTGTATTTTCATTATTTCCAGATTTATAATAATTTATGACGATTTTTTAAAATCATTAAATTAAAAAATATTAATAAAATATACATTCAATTTCCAATTATCTTTATTTATATGTAATCTTGACAAATTTAATATATATAGAGGAAAAATATGTTCGTATTCCATAATGTCAGGTTATTGGGAAAATGAGTCTAAGTAATAAAGCTGATTTTCACGGCTGATTCGTCTCACTCGGTATAACACGCATAACTGTATTTGTTCGCAAACGATTATACTCAATATAATAAAAAAAATTCTATATACATTTATATATGTGTATGTATCCGGTATATATAATAGTATGTGTAGGTAGATACAGCAGCGTCATAGGATAAGAGACATAATACCGTGGCGTCATATGCTCATAACTGCCCCTATCAGAATAATATTATTACTTCGCCACCCCCGCTATTATCCTTCCGTAGCGTAACGCGTTCACTTTCTCATAGATATCTTTCTCCCAGCTTTCAGCATCAATGAAAGCAAACGAGTTTGCGAAGCGTAGAAAATCATCGAAATTCCAGGATGAATCCTCGACTCCATTGAAGTAATCATTGTCTCCGAATAATGTTTCCCTGTAGCAGCTTACAAGTGAAAATATCAGTTTCTAACAGACGGTATCTTCATTAGCATTATTTGGAGATCGTGGACCGCAAATAAGTTTGAAACGCAGGAAGGGAAGTACAAGGATGCAAATAAGGGTGATATCAGTGTAAAAGGGACAGAAAATACTGTCTTTATCTTTTATACTGTTTATACTTATTCTCTTGTCGTGTGCTTTCAATTGTAATATAATGAAATTTGTATGAAAATAAAAAAATATTTTATTATTATTATTTTTTTTAATTTTACAATATATATATATATTTTGTATAATAAAACATTTGCGTATATATTAAATTAAGAGTAAAATCACTAGAGAAAATCCAATTACAAGGGGAGATTTATATGGAATTATTCGGAAAAAAAAAGAAAAAAAACATAAAAACCGGCATCGGCGTCGATAAAAGGCATCCCTTTTTAACCGATGGAGTGGGCACAGTAATAAACATATAATAGAATTTCCTATAATAATTCGAGGATTCCCTCCCGATGTTCATTTCGTGATATTTTTTTTCTTTTTTCGAACGAGCTTTCGGTACTCCTCGTTTAACTATCACCGTCTCCACCACCATCGTCACTACTAGCAGGAGGATAGCTAGGAGCAGCACCCCCACTATTGGTTCGTACGTCGCTGAGAGGGTGATAAGTCGTGACGTCGACGAGGTAGAGGTGATTTCGAAGGGTAGGCGTGGCCGTGGAATGCCACTGTGGAGGTGGAATCGAGAAGGGTAGGGTGGCCCGTGCTATGCTCTCGTTGGCTACCACTACCTTCCTCTACCACGTGGCGTTGAGGATATCGGTGCTGGCCAACGTTATAGAGGGTGGAAAAGCGTGTAAGAAAAACTACCCTCCCTCCTCTTTCTTTCTCTCTGCATTTTTCTCTTTTTTTCTTTACCTCTTTCTTCCCTCTCTTCCCACTAATAGACGGCAAGTCCACTTAAACGCAACACGCGACGATTTTCTCTCTTTTCGATCCCTTGACGAATCCAACACACCTTCTCTTCCAACCTCTTTCTCCTTTTCCCCGTTCTTTCAATTTCTCCTCCATTCTCGCTTCCCTGATTTTATTTTACGATCGTTCAACGGATACATACTCGCTCATATAATGCGCAAGTTTACGTATGTACCTCGTTAATTGCATATCGAGAACTTTGTTACCAGTCATCCTGTATTAGGCATCGGTTTACTGTATTATATATATCTATATGAATAGTATATGTGTGTGTATATATGTATATTTACCACTACAATATATATATATA